ACGTTTCTTCTTATTTGTAGCTCAGAGAACTAGCTTTGAAATAATTAATCTTAATACCAGTCTAAGAAATCAACGTAACATTTCTCAGACATTTCTCTCTCTAAACAAGTAAGATTTGTAGGTTCCAAGTTTACATTAAGAGAACTATGTTACCTGGGAGAGAATGTAAATTTTTCTAATTGCCAAACAAAACCACTAGTATTAATGAAGACATTTATTCTTGATATGCAGATACTAGCGACTTCTATTTCAATGTGGATCAACAACTTCAAAAATATACAGCCTCCTATTTATTTACAATGTATTTACATACAAATGAAGTATTTCCTACAATAAGCCTCAACTGCATAGATTCTTCCTTTTAAAAACACAAATTCAAGCCTGTATGCACATGGGCCGTTTCACAGTTCTTCCTTACAGAAAACTCTAAAGAAGGAGGTCTGAGCCCTGTGAATTTTACATGCTTTTCAAGAACTTTCCCTTTAAGATTTAGTGGTATTTTTCAGTTGTCAGCCACCCCGTCCCCAATTTTTCATCTGAAAACCTTAGATCATTATAAATAATTCACTGTATTTTAGAGGAATGGTGTTCTTTTGCTAAAAGATTCTTAGATTTGCCATCCCTAAGGAAAACATTAACATCCTTAAATGATATAATCTCAATCTTTATTTTGAAAGTGGGTAGAAGTTTACCATGAACTGGAATGGAGGAATCATATTCTTAAGGTTTACATCCTAAGCCTCAAGCCAACTTACATTGAAAACCAGAGGGAAACTGATGGCTTTTGCACTAAAGGCATAAAATCAAATTCCTGATCATTTCACCGATCTCCTCCCCACCCCCGACCCAACAAGATGTGCCATCCAGCACTCTGACCCGCTGAAACACAGTGGAGCGCTAACCTTGTCAAAGCAGTCTGTAGCCCCTTTCAGCAGAGAACTCCCCTTAAAGGGAGGACAGGATTGATCATCACATGATGAACCCAAACATTCTAGAGAAATTTCTGACCTAAATTCAGTATTTCCTCTAACAAAGGGTGTATCTTCTAATTGCTTTCAAAAAAGAAAAAAAAAAAAAACACCTAAAACACCTCATTTTCATTTCTTCACACCTGCCAAAACCATAAGCTTACTGTGTCTCAGGCCACGTGCAGGCAGCCTTATTTGCAATGATGCACCTGTACCAGCATTTCCAGTGGGAAGGGGGCTGCATTCCTCCCCTCCCTAAGTCCTGGCTCCCACTTCTTTTCCCTCAAGTCCCAGGAATCACCATCTGAGAATGACAGATAGGACTAATGGGGAGAAAAAGGAGAGACGAATTTGCTCTGTGTGGGTCTCTAACTTGACCTGTGCCAAGATCACTGGGAGGCCTTATAAGACAGTTTGCTGGACCTCCACCCCCATAGTTTCTGATCTTATTTGGTCTGGACTGTGGCCTGAGTACATGCATCCCATAGAGTTCCCAGGTGATGCTGATGCTGCTGATCTGGGGATACCCACTTTGAGGAACACTGACTTGGAGGCTTGAATCCAACTCTAGAAAAAAGCTAATTCTGGGGTGACTGTCTGAGGTGTCCTCTGAAATACTATGACACCTTATCACAGCCATTAGTTCACCCCAAGCCCCATGGCCATCACCCATGTATGTCTTTCTCAACAGGGTCTGCAAATATGAGAGGAAAAGTGGGTAGAGAGGTTTTTACCCCTCTTTCACTACTGGGCAGTTAAACTATGGTTTCCTAGCACTAAATCCATTAAAAGTGCTGTGTGCTGGCTTCAGTGACTGGCATGCAAGAGAAGCTACGCAGTGACATCGTTTATGGTAGTGGGAGTGAAGGAGATAAGCTCCAGGTGCAAAAGGTCCTACAAACAGAAGCAGGCAGGCCAGGCCTGAGCCTCCAGAGAAAAGAAGGGGTAGCAGCGGAGAATGTCCCTGGTGATGTATGGCCCACCAGAGGACCCCTCATCCTCCTTAACCCTCCCCTTCCTACGAGGTCTCTGGTTGCCCTGGACCTGGTCCCCTTCCTTTGCTGGGGACCCAGCTGTAGGCCACTCTGGGCACTTCTAATTGGTGGCTTACTCTGGTGCCACCACCCAACAGGCAGTGTGAGGTTGGAGCGGTTGATCCAGATTCCACTAATACCACAAGGGACGGATTCTCGGCAACTCTGAACAAACATCTGCTAGGAACAAAATCAGATTCATTGCTTAGATTCCTTAAGCAATCTTGCTAATACAGTATCCTGTTTCAGCTAAACAATGAGTTTCAATCATCTTTTCTAGGTGGCCTGGGGGCCTAATCATCATGTATAACTTGGTTTCTGAAGGAAAATACATTCCAGATTGCAAACAACCAATGGACAATTGTACACTACACTCTGCCTGTAAGTTGGGGTTCTGCACTAGCTTATAAACTGGGGACTGCCTATGATTAACAAGACTGCATTTCTTCCCTGTACATATGCTGCTGTCCTCACGTCCAATAAGTAACATGAAGGAAATTAAGGATTTACAGTGTGCTATGTTATAACAACTAGAGAACAGGTCATACTCCAAAATGTGAACCTAGCACTGTTCACTGGTGCTGAGATCCTATCTACCCAAGGAAAACGTGCTGCTCCCAAAGGCTTAAGGTATAAAATTCCTTAGTCTACTCACACAGCAGAAAAACTTGTACAGCACTTGACTGTGTGATTTAAATTCTACCTAACATCTGTGGTACATGTATTTTTGGCTATGGGTTCACTACTCTGAACAAGAATAATAAGAACAACACATTTTACAGCTAATCCCACACAAATGATGAAATTAATCACTGACATCTGACAAATTACAGTAGGGTCTATTATATTCAGTCAACAATAAACTTAAATAAACATACAAAGAAGATTTTAAAAACCTGTAGTGCAGACGTCAACAAGTGCCTCCTGTAAATAAGCATATTTTAAATTAAAAAAAAAATCCCCTGTTCTGACACATAAAATCCAGAGATCCAAAAATATCACTACACATCCCAAGCCTCCTCTAAATAAGCATATTTTAAATAATAAAAAAAAATCCCCTGTTCTGACACATAAAATCCAGAGATCCAAAAATATCACTACACATCCCAAGACCTAATGATAATCTTCTCAACTGACTGTATAGGCAGAAAGTGAATTTTTATAAGTTAATGAAGAAAATAGGAAGTAGCCTAATAAAGCTTGCAAATAAAATTTGTATTTTTTTAATGGAGGGTCATCCACTATATAGCTATTACATGATTGGGTGCCCCGGGCAAGCTCCAAAGGCCAGGCATCTTGTTTGGTTGAGTTTCTCTTCTGCTTATCTATGAAAGACTGCTGAGAAGGACAGAAATGGCTGTGGGTTTCACTGGGTTAGGAATTCATACATAGGTAGGTACTCATTTCTAAATACCTGAACTCTGATGTCTGTGGATGTAATTCTGGAGCATGACATTAGAAGCTATGATGATACTATTAAGACAGGCAGAAAATAAACTTTCCTTTTCCCCCAAGGGGGTCAGGAATGATCCTGATGCTTGCTTTCTGTATGAGATGTTAGTCTGTCAAGGGGAGGGGACAGTTCCGTGTTACTCCCGGTAAGTGTGGAGGCCTCCGGGGATCTCAGTGCAGGAGGAAGAGCCCAGAGTTAAGTGCCTCGAAACTCTGCCAAGAGTCTGTGGTTAGAGGCTACTTATCTCTGGATAAGATATCTGTTCAGTGAACTGACGTGTTTGTTGAGTTCAACCAGGATGTAGATATAACACAAGCCCTGTTTCAAGAGACTAGGTCACAGGGTACACATGCTTCTCATTGTGTGATACAGACAATCCAGGCACAGGTGATGGTCCAGCGTAGGGGGGGATGTGGTGCTGGGTTCCTGTCCTGTCCCCAATGCCTTTTCAAGCTACCGTGCCCCAAACTTCTCTTCTTTTTCAATCTCTCTGGAATTTCCTTCACTTGCTTTTAGGAGAGGGGCTGGGGTAAGAGTGTCAGCGACTCTGTCCCACATGTGGGTCACATCAGGTGGGCAGTGACAGCCCACCCTTAACCGGGGATGAGGAGAGGGACAGCACTGACACCAAAGTCCCCATCTTGGGGGAGAAAGGTACACCGTGCTTCCATCACACGCTGTCCTCAAAATCACCTCTGAAGGCTCTTTCTCTTTTTTCAAGACTGGATGGATGGCTAGTGGAAAAGAAATAGGAATGAGGCTTATTTAAGGTACAAAACTCTTGTATTTGCAACAACCTAAATTTATAGATACAAAGTGTTAGTCGCTCAGTTGTGTTCACCTCTTTGCAACCTCATGGACTATAGTCCGCCAGACTCCTCTGTGTCCATGGACTTCTCCAGGGAAGAATACTGGAGTGGGTAGCCATTCCCTTCTCCAGGGGATCTTCCCAACCCAGAGATGGAACCAGGGTCTTCTGCACTGCAGGCGGATTGGGTTCCCTTGGTGGCTCAGACAGTAAAGAATCTGTCTGCAATGCAGGAGACACCAGTTTGATCCCTGGGTCGGGAAGATCCCCCGGAGAAGGGAATGGCTACCCACTCCAGTATTTTTGCCTGGAGAAGTCCATGGACAGAGGAGCCTGGTGGGCTATAGTCCATGAGGTTGCAAAAAGGTGGACATAACTGAGCAACTAACACTTTCACTTTCATAGATATAAAACAAATCTTTTAAAGACCCCCCTAAAGTACCTAATATAAAACAGGACTTACTTTCCCTAGATCACCCTTGGTTAGAAACACATGATTTTCTGTGCAAAAAGCTCGTGGACATGAGTAGAAGCTTCTGGGTTTATAATTTAAGAAAATGTTTTTCCCCCTTCAACAATACAGATGTAGGGCTGAAGGCTATCTGCATCTGAAAATATTTCCTCATGCATTTTGGACAATCTTTTTGTAGGACTCCTGCTTCTCAATTTGTTATAAAGGTGTTGTGGGTCTTTCCCAACAAAAGCTGACTCAGATTATATAGAGTAACTTTAACATAAAGAGGGAAACAAAACTTCATTTTCTAGGTAACCCAGATGTGTAGTTCAGTATATTTACCAAGGTAAGAATCATTCCCACCCCTTTCTGAGCTGAGAACACTCGCCAGAGAAGGTCTCTGCACAGAGTGGATGGAGCGCCAGCGAGGCCTCGAGCTGCTGAAGCTCGCCTGCCAGGTAACCAGAGCTGCCTCAAATATTGGGCATTCTCTGATCCAACAAGGGTATGTGCCCTGTGACTCTCATCTGATTATCCCTATGTGCTATATTAACCAAAATAGGCAAATTATTTACGAAACCATTTTTTTCTGTAAAGCAAAATAAATATATACAATTCAAGATTCTTTTCTCTGCTAAAAAGGTACAGATATTATAAGCTGAACATCAGTAGGAAAATTATTTCAGAATCTGGATGTACAATAAATAAACACGGTGGGTGATCATGTCTTCAAAGTTCTAAGAGACGATGAAATCACAAAAAAATAGTAGAGTGAAAAACAATCAACTGTGAAAAGTACTGGAAAATATGATTGCATGAAATTTGGAACCAAAAAAATCCACAATCCTTAAAATTGATCCCCAATCCTGGAGGGGCATGAACCATGATAGAAACAGGTCTCTTGTTTTGCTACCAAAGTATTATTTCATTGTGTATCTTGTAAATTTCTGTTTGCTTCTGTAAACTTGCAAAGGAAGTGATGAAGGGTTGCTGATGCGTGGTAACTTGACTGCTTCCTTTTCTCAGCTGGTCTCAGTGGCCTTTGTCACCATTTGATGAGTAGGCCCAGTCGTAGATGACCAAGGGAATGCTTACCAGGGAAAACAACACCCCCAGACCCAAGAAAAGGGCAGCCTGGAGTAACAGAAAGGCAAGGGTTATTTTCAGGGAAGCAAACATTTCCCAAGCACACCTGGTAAAAAACAGAAATGTTTTCTCTCTGTGTCCCCTCATATTTGGTTTGTTACATCTATTACCAAACTCTGAGATTCTTCCTAAAGTTTTGTGCACCTGATTCTCCAAGGATGGGAACCTAAGAAAAACTAGCTGTGCATTCCCATCCTCTGTATTCTGCTCTTTGATTTCATAGTAATCTTAGAGCGAATCTGCTCTACAACTGACTGGGTATCACTCTTGCTAGCTTCTTTCAGACTAAAGACGAAAACGAAAAAAAGAAAAAAGATCATCCTTAGAAAACATACAGGTCATTTCATCAACCAGCCTAGTTTTTCACTGGCAGGTAAACATTTCTGTTTGAAAAAGTGTTAAAAGGATATCTAAAAGCAGAGTAGATTTGATCAAGTGAGACAGGAAATGGGTATACAAAATTAAGTGATTTCAAGGGTTGATGAAGGCCCAGGGGGCAGGTCACAAAGTCTAAAATCTGGAGAACACAGGCTTATAAATTGCTTGGCGTTGGGAGTTTCCAATGAGAGCTGAAATTCAGGGAAAAGGATGAAGCGGCATGAGAGCCATGGCAGGCCAGACTGGAGTCTGGAGGAGGAGACAGAGCTATGGGAAGGGGAGAGGGCGGAGAGTGGGGTTGAGAGGGCTGGGTCCAGGCTCACCATCACTGGTCTGGTGTAACTCCCAGTGAGCCCCTACACAGACTGGATCTCTTGTCTAATGCTATTTGGTAGATCCTCCCAGGGGTTTTATAATGGGAGCAAGGCTGGAGGGGCCCAGAGAATTCATGATCAGTAGGTCTCCACCACTGTCAGACTGAATCTTAAGTTTACTGCCAAAATTTAATCAAAAACCTCCCAAAAAAACAGAAGTCCAGGACCAGAAGACTGCTCCTCCCTCTCTATCCTCATGAAGCCCCCACTGGTCAGATTTAGAAGGATTTGAGATTTACGGCTTTAGGGATTGTCCTGTTGGGGAAGCAGATGCTCCAGTGGCATCAACAATGCTTCCTCTAAATACACAGGGATGTTCCCCCGTGCCTAAGCCCCCTCACTGGGGTCTGTTGACTCAGGTAACGTGTGCGATTAGAGTGCTTACACTATCTGGGAGGGCGGCTGAAAAGCCTTCTCCGAGGCCAAACATAATGGTGCTCCAAAAGGTACTCATGTAGCAGACACTTCACCCCTGCTCCCCTCACTGTCTCCAAGTGCACCACCTTCAAGATGCCCTTGAACTTCACCAGACCTGGAAACAAGAATTCCAATATAGAAAGGTAGTTTCTGAATCCAGGTCTGTTGCTCCAAAGCATTTCTGTCAAATCATAAAAAGACTCAATGCTAACTCAGCTGTTTCAATTAAGGCACTGCAGGTTCCCTGGGCTGAAGGATGGAGTTACAGGACCAGGGACTATACAGAAACAGTGGACTGCAGAAAAGTTTTGAGCCCCTTTCCACTTCAGATCTTGCTAATAACAAGGCATCACCCTGGAGAGACACAGGATGAAAAATGTCTAATCTCTTGGCTGGCCACTCTGACACAAAAGGAGCAGAACCTGAAGATATTTTGAGGGAATGGAGAAGATCCTGATATGGTATTTTAAATCTCCCAAATGAGCAAACACTAGGATGGCTGCCTCCTTTTGAGGTCACTGTAAGTACCAGATGGTGAAGATGGACTATTTATCTGGCATAGTTCAGTGAAAAACAAATTAGAAAAATGAGAGTGGCCGGCATGAGACATACCCAAATTCGTTGAGTTCCCTTATCTCCATCTTGGCTTGTGATTTTTAAATAAAGAGATGAAGGAAGAATGAAAATAAGCATATTGGCAGATGTAACACCTGGAAAATAAGAAAAATTGAGGTTATCATTGTGAAAGCTTAACTTTCTAAACAGCTATCGTAGAATAAGCGGCAGGTCAGGAAGCCATACCAACGACTCCAAAAATATCCTTCATGGAGGGTATGAAGATCACCAACAAGTTGATAATAACCAGGAGTATGAAGGTCACCAAGACATGACGACATAAATTAAACTTTGTTTTCTTAGCCAGTTCAAATAAGGAAGATCGAACCTGCAGAAAAAGAAAGCAAAAGGTTCTGTCATGCCTCCAGCTTGCAGACTTTCGTGTTTCTCATCAGTTATGGACGGACTGGGGCGTAGGCATTTGGACTTGTTCAGGCCACACCGCGTGAGTTTCTAGATGGCTTAATCGCCTGGGAAGCCAGGCGGCTGGACATAAGATGGAAAGCCCTTTTCTCTATGAGTAGGTAGTTTTCTTTTGCAGGGGGACAGTTTCTATTTTATCTACGACTGAGCACTCTCTCCTGGTCCTTCTATATTCCCCTGTCTTGGATGACTGGGATTCAAACAGTCCATCTACATTTCTCTGTGAGGAAGAGGGATAGATTAATCAGAATTGATTCATCTGTCAGAAGGCTACTCTAACTCACTGATCCCACTTTGTTTCCAAAGACCCTTGAGATCCTTCCCTGAGGCAGTTTCAATGATGCAGGAGTTTCCCACAGTAGCCTTGTTCTGCAAGTGGCTCCTGAAGGCAGCAGGGAAGAGGAGCCCTCGGCTTTTCTCAGGTTGCACTGAGGCCTTTTACTCACCGTGAAAAATAACACGGGCACCGTGAGGATGACGGCCACGATGACTGCCAGCCGTACCGTCAGGATAAGGATGTCGTCCTTACTCTGATACTTGTGGAGGAGGTCGGGCTGCACGCTTTCTAAAACGAGGCGGAATGTGAAAGGGCATTAAGACAAGACAAAGAATTCTCATGGAGTGAGGGGTTTTCTGAACCACAAAGATCTGTAAACTGAAGGCGACAAGGAAAGCAATGTTCTGGGAGCTGAAGTGTCTATTCAACCATTTATAAAGTTGAAGAGCAAAATCCCCCATATGAGACGTGCCCCACCTGTCCATACCTGCAGCAAAAAGGAGCGTAAGAGTAATCAACAGAAATTACACAGAGTGGGGAGCTTCACTGACACTAAACTAAACTCAGGAGTGAGCTGAGGTTAGAAATACCATACGGTTGAAACACAAAGCCCTTCTTCATCTAGAGTCTCCTCAATTTGGTGCCATTCATCCAGCAATGCCCACCGGCCTCAGTCTCACTGAGTGGGCTGCAGGCCACCTGGAGCCTCTTTCAAAGTCTTCTGTTATCACTCAACATCCAAGCAGAAGTGCCCATGGAACTTCATTGCTGCAAGGAACTCATTCTTCTCTTCCAGATATGTTTTCCTCATAAAGCTTATGTACCACTTTGAACTTTTTCTTAACACTGAACTTCAGAAAGTGTCATTTCAAAGATAATCAAAGCTAGAAAGGCAGTCACTGAGCAAGAAAAAGCTCACTCCTGCCTTTTCTTAAAGAATAATTGCTGTTTTTTAAAATATCTATTTTTATTTATTTATTTGGCTACGTCAAGTCTTAGTTGCTGTGTGTAGAATCTGTAGTTGTGGCATGTGGGCCTTAGTTCTCAGACTAGGGATCAAACCCAGGCCCCCTGCATTGGGAGCGTGGAGTCTTAGCCACTGGACCATCGAGGAAGGCCCACTCCTGTCTTTTTTTAATCGATGACTGTACAGCAGTTAGTTGTAATTTGGATGTGCTCTGGAGAGGAGCTAAGCTCAAGGTCCTTCTACTCTGCCATTTTGTCTTCAACTCAAAAATCCACTCCTTTGACAAGAGATCGTTCCCTTCCCATCTCAAGGTTCAGGGTGTGGAATTCCAGTTCCATTTAACAGTCTGGGCCAGAGACAGGTCTCAATTTTAGAAAAAGGATCCTAGATTAGAATAAAAATCTCCTTAGTTCTAATTTCCTTGATTCAAAATTCATAACCATCTAAAATTAGCTGAGCTTTTTTCCTTTCACCTAAGAGTATTGAAAGGCTTTGGTATTCTATTCTATGTGGGGGAAAAAAACGGATTTGTTGGAAAAAATCATGGCTTGAACAAGGCAACAGTGAGACCAGTCAACTAATACTAGGCTCTCTCTCTCTTTCCCTCCCTTTATCCACCCCCAAGCCCTGCAACTCTGCAGGAAACTTGAGAACACCATCTTTATGCAGAAATTAAAAGTGGTATTTATGGATTCATTAGACAATGCTCTTCTCCATTGCTTGTGAACATGGTAATTAGGGAATTCCCTGGAGGTCCAGTGGTTAGGACTCAGTGCTTTCACTACAAAACTACGGTCCCACAAGCTGTGAGGCTTGTGGTAATGGTAATAATACAACCGTATAATCAGGGAAGCCTTTCCAGGCTGAGTTAATCATCTCAAATGTGTTTAAATTTTGAGACATTCGTGTTTATGAAAAAAAGTGCCCCCAAGAAATGTGATTTAATAGAGAATGTAATGTGAAATGTATGTATTCAAATTTAAACCAGGTCCCAAACTGTAATATAATGAAAGATGTTGAATAAAATTGCAGGATGATGGAATAGGAGAGGATGAAGAAGCAGTAAGGCAGACTATTTATACAGGGTTAATAAAAGTTACAAATGAAACTTTGTTCTTTTTCAGATTTCATTTAACTCTGTCATTGCTTCATATTGAAGCAAAGCTCTACCTGCCGCTGAACAATCAGGTGTTTTATTATTAATTAATGCACAGTGTCATGAGTGTAGCACTCTACTCTTTCTCACTTTCAAAATCTGTCTCTGTCTCTCTTTTCTATTAATGGAAAATTACCCAGTTCACAACAGCAATTAGGAAAGCCTTCTCTGATATAGTTCTAAACCTTCCTTAGTAAAAGTGACATGCTTATAAAATGCATTTTTTTTAAGGACAGTATTAGGAGAAAAAATTATGGTATATTGTTTCAGTAATTATTCTATTGCATAGTCAGCATGAATATGTAAAGGAACCACAGCCATTTGCTTTAAGCAGAAGAGAAGATCAGTAAAATCAATGGATAGATTTGTTGCTTTTGGGGGTTATCACATTGAAATATCAGTACATATTTTGATACTGATTTTTACTAATTTACTTACTAATACTTATATTTAGGTACTGACAGAAGGTACTTACCATAGAATGTCAAGTAGCCAAAAATGGCAGTCAAGAAATACATAACAAACATGGCGAAAAAGGAGATATTTGAAACCATCTGCATCTTTTTCTGTGATCGACTAGAAACAAAGAAAAAGAAATTTGAAAAATTGAAAACCATATTATTGAATGTAAGCACAAATATTAACCCTGAAGAATGGAACTTGACTTTCTTTCTATCAGGCTTGGGCTGACTTGACCTGCTGTAACTACCCCCAGTAATTATAGCAAATATACCAGTTTCCGATAACTTTCTTTACACTGATTGGGTATTGAGAGAGAAAGAGCCATGGGACAAACAACCCCTTGAATGTTCTTCCCCATTCTTTTGAAAGATATTGAGTTCTCATCTGAAGGGCAGAGACTATTTTTTTTAACATTTGTTTGATACTATCTCCACACTTAGGATGCACAGGAAAAAGGCAGAATAAGTTCCAATGCTATTCTCCTGACTGCAGAGATCAGGCGCTGAGCTAGAATTTAACCTTGGGAGTTTTGTCACTAAAGCTGCTATTTAAGGTCTGATTTTCCCATCGAATAGCCTCAGGGAGGGTTTCCCAGGTGGCTCAGTGGGTAAAGAATTCACCTGCAATGCAGGAGATACTGGTTCCATCCCTGAGTAGGGAAGATCCCCTGGAGGAGGGCATGGCCAACCGCTCCAGTATGCTTGTCTGGAAAATCCCATAGACAGAGGAGCCTGGCAGACTGCAGTCCACGGGGACGCAAGGAGTCAGACTAAGCACGCAGGTACTCACACAGCCTCAGGGAAGCCTGTATGTCTCCACAGCAGTGAGTGCCCAAGAACCCACAGCTGGGATAATGAAAGGCTCTCTCTTTCTCTCAGGTCAACTTTATCCTAGGAGTTTGCATGAACCTTTAAGTTTCTTTAGCTGCCTAAACAATTAATCTCCAAGACTTGTACTCAAGAATACGCCACCAAGAAGCATGACATTTGACTGTGTCATAACAGGAAGTATGGAAAACAGACAAATTGAGAAGTACCCACATAAGAAAGCTTCAAACTAAAAGCAGAACTATTAAGTTTAAAAGATGCCAGAGACATCTTTTGTTTAATTATCTTATGTTTAAATACCTTAAATATAAGATCATAAGGTAGGAGTAATGTATGCATAGACAGGTAGATGTAAATACTTCAAAACTTAGTGATAAATCAATTTAAAATGAAAGAGGAACAATCATGAGTGAACTCAATCCTGAATAACATCACCTTTCTTTCAAAATGGAAATAGATAACTATACTGTATATATTTTCTGAGCTTAAGACTATGCCATGATGCCTATTTCAAGAAACAAGAAAAAATCTCAATCTACTCTGACACCTACAGAAACTAGAAAAAAGAAGAACAAAGTCCAAAGTCAGTATAAAAAAGGTAATAAAACTGAGTGGAAATAAATGAAATAGAAACTAAAAGGACAATAGAAAGAATAAATGAAACTTAAGAACTGATTCTTTGAAAAGATAAACAAAATTGACAAACCTTTAGCTAGGCTTACAAAGAAAAAAAGGCAGAAGGCCCTGATAAATAAAATCAGAAATAGGAGAGAGTAAAGAAGCAACAGACATCATAGAAATAAAAGGGACTACCAGGGAGTATTACGAAAGTTATATGCCAACACATTGGACAACCTAGAAGAAATGGACAAATGCTGAGAATCATATCAGCTTTCAAGACTGAATCATGAAGAGACAGAAAATACGAATAGACCCATCACTAGTACAGAGACTGAAGCAGTCATCAAAAACCTCCAGAAAAACAGGAGTCCAGGACCAGAGGGCTTCACTGGTGAATTCTACCAAACATTCAAAGATTTAATACCCATCCTTCTCAAACTCTTCCAAAAATTTGAAGAGGAGGGAATGGTTCGTAACATGTCATGAGGTCAGCATCTTTGTGATACCAAAACCACAAAAAGACAGCACAAAAAAGGAAAACTTCTGGCTTAATATCTCCAATGAATATAGATGCAAAAGTCCTCAACAAAATATTAGCAATGACAAACCCACAGCAAACATCACTCTAAACAATGAAAAATAAGTTTTCCCTCTAAAATGAGGAAGAGGACAAGGATACCCACTCTTAACACTCTTATTCAACCTAATAAGAGAAGTCCTAGCCAGAGCAATTAGGGAAGAAAAAAAACAAAAAGCATCCAAATTGGAAAGAACAAAGTAAAACTGTCACTATTTGCAGGTGACATCATTTTATACACTGAAAACCCTGAAGACTCCACCAAAAAACAATTAGAGACAATAAACAAGTATAGTAAAGCTGCAAAGTACAAAATCATACAAAAATCTGCAATGTTTCTATATGCTAACAATGAGATAACAGAAAGAGAAATTAAGAAAACAATCCGTTTACAAGTGCAACAAAAAGAATAAAACATCTAGGAATAAATTTACAAGGATGTAGCTCCAGAGAATGCAGTAATGGTTACCAGCAGGGAAGGGGAAGAGGGAGGACAAGATGGGTAGAGGAGATCCATTGTGTGGTGATGGATGAAACTATATTTCTGTGAGCAGGACATAGTGTGGATGGCAGTAGAAATATTAGGTTGTACACATGAAACCTATAAAAGTTATAAACCAGTTATCTCAAAAAAAGTGACTATGGCATGACAAATATTTTTATGTAGAAATTCTGATAATAGTAGGCTAAGAAGAGAACCCATGAGGGAATTCATAAGCAGTCCTTTCGTTTTCTTTAGCAGAGCAATCAAAAACAAATCCATAATCACTGTAATAGTTTAAAATGAACAACAATATTCTTCTGTCCAGGGTGTGGTCTTAACATTCATTTCTTCATGCCTGGTTTACCAGCCTTTTCCAACTAAACCAAAAGGCAAATCACATTCAATGTATTCAGTGGCTCACAGATGAATCTGAAGATTACCATTATTCATTTGCAAACTAATCACAAGTAATATAAAGCAACGCAAACACCTGAACTCTCTTGAGTAACATAGTATTTGAAAAACCAAATTAATAAGAAAAATCGCACATAATAAATGCTTTTTATACATTTATGGCCAAAATATATGGCCATGTATGTATAATGCACGTTTGTGTCTTGCTCAAGAATGACAAAGTAAAGGTTGAAGCTGGGCTGAGGAAGTTCATGATATGAGTCTATTTATTTTGATACAGCACTTGCCTGTTAATGAGGGGCTGTAAAATGATTCAGTTTGCAAAAAAAAAGTTAAACAAATCTCTTACTCTTTAAGCTCACTGTAAATTGGCAGGACCGATGGGTGGCAGACGAAAGCAAATGCGATTGTTGGTAGAGCGTACACGGTCTATTTGAGAGGAAAAAATAAACGTTACGGAAAGGCATTTTTACCATAAAAACTGTAGAGCCCCAGTATTTCTGAGCTGTCTTCTTATCTGACAGCCCTTCAGAATCCTTGGATTATTTGGTTATTAGGGGAGCTTTGATATCTAAAATAGGAGCAGCTTTTCTAAGACAGCTTATCTAGCTTGAGACATCAGACACTTGGCAGAGAGGGGTTTTATAGCCAGGCTCACCTACAGAGTATTTTACATCCTCCAAGCATTGCGTCACCTGTATTTATGTGGCACTAGCTAGTTACTAGCACTTTCCTCTGTTATTTCACTGAGTCCCCACCCACAATCCTGAGACAGACCAGCGCTATTCTCCTGGCTCCCTCCAAGACAGACAGGCGACACAGCCAGAACATGCACCTTCATCTCACTGCTCTGTGTTTGTAACAGGGTGCATCAGTCAGACTTAAATATGGCATCTCAAAAGAAAATGACTTTCTTAGAAGAAAACTACTTCACTCCTTTGGTGTACCTTTAAGAGTTTAAAGAGAACAGGTGAGAGATCAATCTAAATTGGCTTCTTAGAAAAAGGTAATTCAATATAGTAATTTCTTATGCAAAAAGAAGCTGGCAGAGAAGGGAAAAGTAACATTTCTCATGCCATAATCTTGCCCAAGCAAAGTTATCAGGCACATTCTAAGAAATCCTGTAAGATACACAATAGAATCATTATTTTACAAATGGGGCTGACAATTTGCCTGAGGATTCAAATCCAAGCCTGACTGTTTCCATAGTCCACCCTTCCCCAATATGTTGTATGAATGTTCCTTAAGTGCCAATTTGTGGTAGGGTCTATATTTCAACTGTACAAGCTGGGGAAGTTTGAGGTATTCCTTTCTGCCACCACGAGACAGAAGCAGTGAGCTGTGGGATGGCGATGGGTGGGAGGGAGGCTCAAAGGAAGTGGGTATGAATACAGTCAGGACTGATCCAAGTTGTATGGCAGAAACCCACACAACTTTGCAAAGGAATTATCCTCCTATTAAAAAATTAATTTTAAGAAAAGAAGAAGCAGTGGGCTACGGATGTTATTAATATGTTTTTAAAGAACTATAAGAAATAGCAGAGCTGAGATAATTGTGCAGAAAGAGGTTTTCACAGAGAATACTTTAGGTTGTCCTACATTAAACCGAGTAAAAGGGAGCATGAAACACACGATTTATGTATTTCTTCAAGGTCATTAAATGGACTGTGGCATTTGAAACCTGTGGTACCCTGTTCCTTTGAGAATAAATGCATCAGAGACAGTTTAATTAAAACAAGTTTAAGAAACACAACTTCCTTTGTAAAAACACTCCTATTTTTATATCTGAAGGACAAGAAACTTACCTTTGAATTGACGGTAACATATTTTGGCGTACACAAGTCCGCATTTGTTGAATTAGGACTTGTTGAATTTAGCTCTGGAACAAAACAGGGAATTTGAAATTTCTTGTAGATAACCTGGCATTAAAAAAAAATAAAGGAGAAACAATCAAACTTTATCAAATAAAGCCCAATAATGCATAATTGTTACACAGCATCATACTATGGCAAAACCAGGCCAACCATTTCAACCAGGACTTACCACAATTAGGAAAAAAACCATACAGCTCAAGGAAAATCCACTAGTATAGCCAAGATAACCTAAAAAGAATTTAGAGAATTATTATTATTTTATCCACCACCTCTTTCAATGCATTATTTCAAGCCCAGTTTGCAGTTCCAATAACATCCATATGTGCTAATATGAATATAAGATTTTCTATTTGATAGGGCTATCTTATTTGGCAAAAAATGGTGACTTTAAATTAAAACAATACAGTAGTATGTGCTCTGATTCCAGTTCTGCCTGACACACTAGAGAATGCAGATTTCCAGAATCCAGGGGAAAAGAGCCTCCCAAATTTGCCTATAAGTCTCTGCTGCTGTATTCTAATGAATTCCTATAGCCAAATCCATTTACTCCTTGATCCATTCAATAGTTCTTCACTATGTACTTATTGTGTACATACTGAATATGCACAGAGGAGAGGAAGTGATTTCTAGGGATAAATTGAGCACCCGAGGCACTCGACCTCATTCTCCTTAGAAAGCCTGGGAGATCTCTGAGCACTGTAAGCTCCAGAAAGGCAGAGTTAAGTGGTCTCTGGGGGCTGCATGGTTCTCACCTCTGGGGGAGAAGAGTCCTTCTCCACTAGCACTAAAAAGAGCTATATGTACACAGAAAAGCTTAAACACAGACTCAGAAACCAGAAAATTAAGTAGCTTTTAAAAAAAAATCTACTTATAGGTCTAACAGAACAGCTACAGAGGTGTGGTAAGACCTTGAAATGTCTCCCTCGAATGAGCCCAGAATTATAAGGAAATGCACTTCAGAGGCGCTGGACTGGATAGGGGTCTGGCTGCATTATTTCACACATGAAATTTTCATAACATCAGGGATTCTTGTCTCCAAATATAAGCACACATGCAAAAATGTCAAAACCAAGTGGATACGGCTTAGTGATTATCTACCACTTTTCATTTCTCTCTCTCCCATCAGTGAGGCAAATCATTGAGGCTGGTTAGACTCTGATCATTTAAGACTGATTCATAATATAATTTTTGTCTGTGCACTCAGTCATGTCCGACTCTTTGGGACCCTATGGACTGCCAGACTTCCCTGTCCGTCACCATTTCCTGGAGCCTGCTCAAACTCATGTCCATTGAGTTGGTGATGCCACACACCCATCTTGTCCTCTGTCGTCCCCTTCTCCTCTGGGTAAAAATATAAGCCACTTTCTGTCTGTATTAGATGTGAAATTCTGTCCATCTAAACAATCAGAGTGTGTAAGACCTTCTATGAGGAGAATTCCATTTTTTGGACTTTGGGATTTTAGACAGCATTTTCTGCTGCTGGCCCCAGGACCCCCTTTACCCCGCCATGGTTTAGTAGAGGGACTGCTTACAAAGTCACATATGAGCCAGTGTTTTTATCCCCTATTAAAGTCGTGCCTCATTAACACTTATAATTTTTTACTCAACCTTTACCCTGCAAGTCAAAGTAGGGAGCAAAGTTGTTTGTTTTTATCAGGTTTCTGATTCATCTGAGTGCTGTAGAGACTGTGATAAAAGCAAGATCTTACCTAAGTTCTTCAAGAGACACAGAGGGAGAATTATGCCAAAGGTAACTACCACCACCAGAAAGCGGCCATCCACGTACCAGGCTCTGAAAGGCATTTAAGCAGACAGACATTTTCTTAGAGAGTGACTTTTTCTCTCATGTGTAAAATTTCACAATATTTTAAAAAAATTTTTATTATTACTAATGTTTACCATTAATTGTAATTATTATTCAATTTTTTTTTCCCATTTATTTTTATTAGTTGGAGGCTAATTACTTTCCATCATTGCAGTGGTTTTTGTCATACATTGAAATGAATTAGCCATGGATTTACATGTATTCCCCATCCCAATCCCCCCCCCAACCCCCCCCCCACCCGATCCCTCTGGGTCTTCCCAGTGCACCAGGCCTGAGCACTTGTCTCATGCACCCAACCTGGGCTGGTGATCTGTTTCACCCTAGATAATATACATGTTTCGATGCTGTTCTCTTGAAACATCCCACTCTCGCCTTCTCCCAGAGTCCACAAGTCTGTTCTATACATCTGAGTCTCTTTTTCTGTTTTGCATATAGGGTTATCGTTACCATCTTTCTAAATTCCATATATATGTGTTAGTATACTGTAATGGTTTTTATCTTTCTGGCTTACTTCGCTCTGTATAAAGCCAAACACTAGTCATTTACTATCATCTCTCTTTCCATGTGACTGAGGGAGAGATACTGCTTTTCCTCTGCTCTCCCCGACTGGCTAAGCGTGCCATCCCTCTGAATTATTTATATGACTTCAAAGCTGAATGCACACATTACATTCTGTCAGATTACAACTTGTCTTTATCAATTATTTAAAGAGAAAGTTCGTTTTTGCTTGGCTTGGTGAATATTGTCAAAAAATAAGTCACCACAGGTAAGCATTGCTTTCTCCCTAATCGCTTGTATTTGACCTTGAATCCTGATGCTAGAACACTAGGAACCCTGGCTTCTACAATTTTCCCTTGAAAGAAGACAGAGGAACTAAGACTGACAAGAACTGCTGAACAAGAGGTAGACAAAACATAACGGTGTGCCAAATGCAGAGGCAACATTTTCCAAGGTTAGCTACATCTTTAATGAGGTTGGCTCATGTCAATTCTGCTCCCAAAATGTTCTGTCTCTTCTTTAAGGAAAAGTCTGGGTCTTAATTTTGCATGTTCTATTTCAGCGTTAAAAATACTCCATATCTGTTCTATTTCACAGAAAATAGATGTTGATTTCAAGCTCTTGGGAAGTTGCAGGACTTAGCGTCTATAGCACGGCCGATGAATCTATCTTTTAAAAGCTCAGATTCAAATGGTTCTCCTTGCTTCCTTCATTAATATATCCCCAGAAACAACAAACCAAGAAAAAACAGCCTAGGAAAAATTCTGTTTCTGCAGTCTTCATAAAACAAAAACTTAGGTTACTAGCCCACATTTCAATTAAAAACATTTTAGTTATCTTTTAAACAATAGTCTATAACTTACGAAAATTCCTCTTCCTTTCCCATTAGAAACTTTATGGCAGAAGGTAGCTCATTTTTTACTATGAAGAGGTAGCTCAGCATTGCTAGAAGAAAATGAGAACATTTTTAGAAAGAAGATACTGAGGCTCATGTTGCAAGCTATACAAAAGGTGACCAGACTGTCTCTAGACCAACCTCCAGTAGGACATAAAGATGGCTGCAGACACTGTCCAAGTACCCCTGGTTGTAAGTGTAAGTGGTTGTAAGTGACTACTATCTCTGCTTCACTTTCATTGCACAATTTTAGCAATGAGAATGATACTGCTTGAATTGTGTTAAAATTCATGTAGCCACCCAACCACTGAGATTAGAAGAAATAGCAATAACATTCACAACTTTAATGTATAGAAAAAACAATCTTTTTACCTCCAGTGTTCTGTAGGGAGGTGGCTCCAAAGATGACAAGTTTCCCTGTGGTGCCAAAGACCTGTTCTCCCAGCTTTTCATAAACCATGCAGCCTGTTTAAAAAACCATAGTTGAGAACAGAAAAAATGATGAGTTTCCTACATTAAAAATAGCCAAGACTTCACCATTCTATTGACTATTCCCCAAGTTACTGTGTCTTTATCAAAAATCATATACATAGTCTTCTTGGCTTTGCAAAGATTAAGGTATTCTCAGTACAAAACAAAAACAACTTGTTGACTTTTTTTTTTTTTCAACTTCTTGACTTTTTAAAATGTCAGATATGACCACCATTTTTTTTTCAGGTTGGCTACAAAAGCATTACAAGTAAATGATTAGGTCATAAGCCTTATTTTTATTTTAATTATCTCAAAAATCTCCCTACTTTACTGGGGGGAAATTCCTACTCTAATTTTATTCTCATGTCTGGTGTATATCATTAAAATAAAAATTTGATTTAAAAATAAAAACTCTGATGGCTGGGAAGAAAGGTTCCTTTTGAATGAATTACCTGAACTGATGAGGCTAACAAGGAATAATAATATTCCAACAATGCTTTGTGGGTTCTAAATATAATAACATAAAAAAACATGTAATAACCACAACATTAGAATTTTTATCTTTATTTCAGAGATTTGACACTCACAAAAGAGAGTAGCAGATAACTCTTTCGAGAGAATAAATTGGCTATAGCAAAATTCTAAAGTCTTCAACCGGCTCATCTCAACAAATACTAAAATGTTAAACCATTCATTTAAAAAATGGGTTTATGTTTCTTTATAATAGTTCAGCTCACATTTTTCAAAAGGTTCACAGAAAGAAACTGGGTTAGACTATAATTAAACTTTTGTTTATTCTTTCATAAGACTGATGTTTAAACTAGACAATGGTTAGATCCACAGTTTATTACAAAATGTTCCAGTTAAATGGAGTCATCTATATACAGTAATGGTTGGCCAATGTGGTTTTAGCTAACGTAAAAGTCAAAGTATTACAAACATAATCCAGTGTCCCAGGAATAGAAAATAAACACTTCAGGTATAACACTGCCCAGAGAACTTGAAGTCTTTTCACAGCACACTGACACCCACATTGCTTGGGAGTCACACTTTCTCCTTGGAATATGCACAAAAGAGAATGAAAGCTCTGTTTATTCTTAAAACCTTGGAGCCTATAATATAAAAGCATGGGATCCTTGGTCTGAATTTATAAATACTTAAGGAAAAACCAAGGTCTTTAAATGAAGTCATCTTAAACTAGAAGAGCAAGTATATTTGAGGGTTCTCTTTAAATTTCAATGTTAAAAAATAAATAAATGAATAAATTTCAATGTTATTTGCTTACTATTCATAACAAGTGCATTTATATATTCCTGTATCTACTCTAAGTAAATAAGTAAATACCACTATAGTTCTTCCAGCGACAACAGGTCGAAGCACTGTTTTTCTTTAATAAACAAGTTGTTGAACAGGGAGAGTATCATTTGTTCAAAATGTCACTGTGACAATTTTGAGAATTGTGAGAATTTATCACTCTGGCTTTACAAACAGCTTACCTGTTTCCTTTGAACAGATCAACAGCAGGTTGATTGAATATATAGACAGCAGTGTTACTGAAGTCAAAAGTACCCTAAAGCAAAGAAAATAAGTCTTATGATAACTATAAAGACTCTGACCTTAAACGGTAGAAAGGTCAAGGCTGATTTATAGGTTAACACTATTCACTGATAGGATCCAAATACTGGAACCTATTAGTCACACCCTCCTTAACATCTTTAATAAAAATGTTCTACCAAGTAAAAGAACTGCTCATTGGACTGTAACTCCAAGAATTCAAATCTTTTACGTAATTCTGAGCTTAAATATAAATGGCACTCTGGGATCATTTCAATGGAGGTGACTTTTAAAACAACATTGTGAAGGAAAGCTTTTGTGGTCTATGGTACACTTTCTGTGATATCTGAGAGAGGAAGTGTGAGAAGGGAGGGGTGGGGGGTGAGAGAGGCAGGCATGAAGCGACCTTTAGGTCAGTGACATGACTTTGGACACCTTACTTGAGTTGAGGTCTCCCATTCCTACATTCCTTGCGTATAATATAAACACAAATGGTGTCTAGGGTTCTTTACATCTAATTACTCTATGGCTATTTTTGAATCTATAAATTAAACCACTGAGATAATTCACTGTTTTTTTTTGCCCCCAGTGTCTCTTAAAAGAACCTCCTTTAATGGATGGGAAAATTCTGACAATCAACTGTAATGAAAAGACTTTGTTGAATGATGAACTCATGTCTTTGTTTTAGTACATCTGGCTCATTGCCAAACCTTCCTCAAGAAAAAGCACAGTTAAAAATGATGTGGGAGATGACATAGATTTCAGAATCATTTGGTTAAAACAGACATAAGAATTGCAAATAAAGCTTATTTATTAACAAGAACAAAATTCCAGTCTCCGAGATGAAACCACTCACTTCCTGATGTTGGGACAAATGTCCCGGAAATGACACATTGGTGCGACTGACTCCCATGTCTGAGTAATTAAGGCAATTATTTTTCTGGCAAGTACTGTTGGGCAGTGCTGGGCATCTTGTGCAGTTCTCTCTGCAAGGGACTCTTCCCAGACCGCCCCACATCCCGCACACCTGCTGACCCCTGCTCAGCTGTCATCTCCTCAGGCGCCTGCCCTTGCCCCAGGCAGAAAGACAGCTTCTGAGCTTTCCCTTGTCTTGCAGCATTTTGTTTTGCCCATGTTTCAACCATGGGGAGATAAATGAGGGGGCAAAGACAGTCAAGGGCAGAGAAGATGAACGGCCAGAGACTGGCCAGAAAACATGAAAGAGTGACCGGGCTCGGCAGAGGTAAAACAAATACTGGGAGAAAGATCAGAAAACCTAACCCTTTGGGTGAAGGTACAACTGACCAGCTAATAAAGGGAAATTTATATATGACTATAAAGAAGTGCATCTGGATATGTTACTGACTCAGATCTCGGAGTAAGAGGGTGAATAAGAGGGTAAGTCCCTTATTACTTATTCTGGTTGAGGGACATGAAAAGCTGACAGCAAGCATTTATTAAGCAATGAAGCAGCTTTGAGATAAGCAGTGAACATGACTTGATATGCCACAGAGTAAGACCCAGGACACAACTGTGCTATGATCTTTGTTTCATCTTGGAAGACAATATTTATGTTGAGGAAGCAGGCCTTGAGTTTCACTCAGAGTTCACTCACGGTGACACTGAACCCTAAACGGCAATTTCCACACGTGCCTGAGCCAGGCCACAGAGGATTTATTTCTGTGTGGCAGAGAGATCTTGAGCTTCCCAACTGGGAGCTGAGTGGGCAGAATTTGAGGATTGGCCATGTGCTCTTCTGGAGTGACTCTGTCCTCTGCTCAATTGACTCTCATGGGACTGAGCTGGGGAGAAGAGTGCATGTTACCACTGGCCCCGAGCTATTGAGTAAAGAGCATGACCTTTCAAAATATGTACCTTGTAGGAGGGATAATTACAAATGTCTACCTAATGGTTAATCAAAGGCCCTCAGCTGAGGAGAACTGGGTCTTCAGTAGCAAAAGAAAGATTCAAAGGAAACATCTGTTCCCCCAGCTAATAACCCCAGGACCACGTGGTGTTCTAGTACCAGCTGCCTCTTTGCCTTTCTTTTGGGTGGACTTTCTTCGGAGATGATGCACTTGTATCAGGGCTTCCCTGGTGGTACCAGTGGTAAAGAACCCGTCTTCCAGTGTAGGAGATGCAAGAGACTTGGGTTCGATCCCTGAGTCGGGAAGATCCCCTGGAGAAGGAAATGGCAACCCACTCTAGTATTCTTGCCTGGGAAATCCCACGGACAGAGGGGCCTGGTGGGCTACAGTCCACAGGGTCATAAAGAGTCAACACCACTGAAGTGACTCAGCACGCACGCATGCATATCGCTTCCTTTTCTTTTCCAAGTGGGAGAAAAGGGCTGATCAGGGAAGATTTCAGCAGGAAACATCTTCTTCCATCTTCTTCCCCACACTTAACACTGGCAAACTGACGTCATTTCCACAGTGATGACAACAAGCCCCTTGCTCCCATATCTGAGAACCATCAGGCCACAACCCCAACCAAATGACCGCATAGTAAGTCTGACAGCCAATCCCTGAAGACCCTTTTCTCCATCCCTTCCAACATACACACCTTCCCTTCCAAGACTGAAAGCTAATATAGAGCAAAAAGCTTTTTCTAAGTTGTCACTAAGAGGCAACTTCTGTATATATTAAAATTCTAAGACTGCTTTAGCCTGTAACAGAATCTAGCACTAATGGGATTAAAACTTAGAAAAATTCACCTCCTTATTTAGATTCTTAGAAGAAGTGATAAGGTATCTAATTAGTTATCATAGATCCCAGAATAGTTTAAGAGGCTCCAGTGGGAGCTGGAGTCTAAAAGAAAGAGCAGGAAGAATGACTTGAGACACAAAGATGATTTATTTGAACATTTATTTTGAGCATATCTGTGCCCCTATTTGGGCTTCCCTGGGGGCTCAGTCAGTAAAGCATCTGCCTGTAATGTGGGAGACCTGGGTTCAGTCCCTGGGTTGGGAAGATCCCCTGGAGAAGGAAATGGCAACCCACTCCAGTACTCCTGCCTGGGAAATTCCATGGATGGAGGAGCCTGGTAGACTCTGGTCCATGGGGTTGCAAAGAGTCGGACACGACTGAGTGACTTCACCTGTCCCCTATTTGTCCAAGTAAACATCTGGACACATAGTTTGGTTTCCTGGAGGAGAAACATAAGCTGGTGTTCCTGAACTAAGAGGAACAGAAGTGATTCATGTTTTTCATTTCATCTGGGTGTCATATAAGCTTTCATGCTGCTATGCGTGTGCATGCTCAGGTGCTCAGTCCTGTTCAACTATTTGAGACCCTGTGGACTAGAGTCCACCAGGCTCCTCTGTCCATGGAATTTTCCAGGCAAGAATACTGGAATGGGTTGCCATTTCCTACTCCAGGGAATCTTTTCGATGCAGGGATTGAGCCCGCATTTCTTTGCATCTCCTGAGCCCGCAGGGGGATTCTTTACCATTGCGCCACCTGGGAAACCCTTCCTATTGCTAAACACTGACCAAAAGTTTTCATATGGCTGGGGCAAAAGCTGCTCACTGAAAAAGGCCTGTTTCAATGGGAAGCAAACCTCAGTCCCAGGCAGTTGGCAAGGTATGAATAGTCCAGACTGACGTTCAGCCTGGAAGAGGAGGTGACCTAGAACATGACTGCACACAGGCCCTGGGGAAGCAGTGGAGGGGGGTCAGTCTTGTGAAGAAGGAGGTTAGGAATTTTGAGAGCCCTCAGGCATCAGCGACCCTTTGTAAACACAGTGCAGGGACATCCCACTAGATTTTGTGTCCCCTGCGAACCAAGAGGCTGGTTAGGAAACAGAATTCTAGACTCCTGGACTCGGGAGAGACCTTGAGAGACTACCCTGCCCAGCTTTTCAGCCAGGATGGGAAATCTCTCTGCTCCGTGCCAGCACAAAGGCATCTAGGTCTGCCAGGTCTTCTGTCAGGAGACACAAGTTCAATGCATCCTGATTCTGCAAAGTGCTGCGCACTGGAATTGAGGCTGAGCTGAAAGCAGTGCTGCGATTTTCATCCTGGGTCCTTATTTTACCCTCCAGACCCACTTGAATCTACTTGAAATCTAACCCCCCTTCCAACTCAGAGTCCATCTGACGGTGTTCATTACAGTGCTCATTTTAAGACGGTGCTCGTTGACTTGAACATCTCTAGTACTTTCAGCTGTTCATCCATCCTTTTTAATGGCGGTGTGCATGATGGTCTCACATTAGTTTTGTCCAACAAGTGCAAAGCACAATAAGATTATTAATTTGTGTTGTACACCCTGCTTCTTTCAAGGCGACCTATTTTGGTTTCCATTTTTACGGAAGCAGGTCACACTTCTCATTCTTATTGAGTTTCTGGTTAGGAACTGCTGTTAGGCCAATCTTCCTGGTTCCATCCTGTGCACTTTTTGAAAAGTCAAGTATAAGGGTCTTCACTTATTTTCATTACCAAAATTTTATCTTTCCAGTCTCCCGATATTTTTAAAATTCTCGATCCTTTTTTACTTGTGTATCAATTACCTCATCCAGCTTCCTATCTTGAGTCTGCCTTCATCCAAGTCTTCACCCAAGAAGACTCAAGCTTCATCCTGAGTGTGGTTCTAATTCTGAATGGAACAAGACTGTCTGGAAAGTGGCCCCTTGTCCAGACAACTGTTCCAAGCAGACATTACCCCTGACTTCTCATCTACTCTCTCGTCGCTTGTGTCTAATGTATTGGCAAATGTTTGATCATTTCTGCCTTCAAAATATAACCCCAATCCATACTTCACAAAGGTTAGAATCTCATTTTTAAGTCATGTGAGATTCTGCCAAATATCTTAGAAAAGTCAAGGTACACTCTGCTTAAGCCAGTCCTGTGACCCCTTGTCCAGACAACTGTTCCAAGCAGACATTACCCCTGACTTCTCATCTACTCTCTCGTCGCTTGTGTCTAATGTATTGGCAAATGTTTGATCATTTCTGCCTTCAAAATATAACCCCAATCCATACTTCACAAAGGTTAGAATCTCATTTTTAAGTCATGTG